TCCCTCTTTCGATCTCACATGATATCATCTCAGGAATAAATCAATATCGACCCAGAGAGTAAACAAAACTTAAACTTAAATGGCTTCCCCATACATCATTTTTCCCCCTCCTCCCATCTCCTTCGCCAAGCTATCTCTTGACTACCGTTACAAGAGAAGTTGTAGTTAGCCTCTGACATTTGCATCATAGTTTTCCGACGCAAATATTACCGTCGGATTTGCGGCCGTTAAGCGGTGAATAATATTTGTGTTTGAATTAATGTCGAATTTGAATCTAATTAAGTGATGCAATTTTTTGTTTGTTTGCGTCGATATAGGTCCGTCACAAATTCGATAAAAATCCGCGAAAATGGCCTAAAGTACTCATCCTGCACGTCTAAATTTTATTTCTCTTATGCCTGAAACTCTTGATTTTTTTTTGTTTGCGTCGATATAGGTCCGTCGCAAATTCAATACAAATCTGCGAAAATGGCCTAAAGTACTCATCCTAAGTGTCTAAATTTTATTTCTCTTATGCCTGAAACTCTTGCTCTCCCCTTTCCTCTTCCTTACGGTTTCGCCCGAAACCCTTGCTCTCCCTCACGGTTTCCCTCTCCCCATTCCTTGTCTGTCAGAACAACCATTTTGTGATATAGGATCCGTTTGGGCAGCTTAAAACTGCTGAAAATGCCGCTGTGATGTTTGTTTTGCACGTTTGAGCAGCATTTTGGAAAACACAGTTTGAAATTTTTGCATAATCTGGGCCGCGGTATTACCCCCGCGGTCAGTGTTTCCTTGCTGTGTTTAATTGCAAATTACTCCAGCTGCCCTTCACAATCGCGATCCACCTCTCTCTGCCCTGCTCGTGATCTGTCGCACCCTGCTTCCTTACGTTCTCTCGCAGCTTCTTCAGCAATCAGGCAACCAGCTCTCTGCTTCTTCAGCTTTCTACCAATTAATCATTTGTGTTTCAGTCATCCAAATATGTTAATTAGGATAAAAAAGGTTACCCATTTCCCCTTCTTGAATTAAGCCTAAATGTTAATTAAGACCAAATTCTCAAAGTTACACTTTTACCCCATAATTTATCAAAATGTAATTCAAATAACTTTAGAATTTCCATCCTACCTTACTCATGGGTCAATTGAAACATGAGAGGAGAAAATGTGATTTTTCAAATTTTAATTTAATTTATATCATTATTGATATGCAAAAATAGTGTTTTTCAAAAAAAATTCCATACCTTCACCAAGGCAGAGTGTAATCCATTGAAATTTTTACTGGAGGTAGACTTAGACCAGAGAACCATTTGGACTAAATTTCATGATTTTTTGAGTGATGTTTGAATTATTACAATTATTTTAAGTTGTGGAGTGTTAATTAATTATAAAATATTTAAATGTGGAAAATTAAGTTTTGCATTTTTATTAAATCTCTCTGAGGTCAAAGAACCCAGAGAAATAAATTTCATATTTTTATGACTTTTATTTGAATTATTAGAATTATCTAAGTGAAAGGATAAGAAAAATCCTTTTTTAGCCTTTAAAAATTATTTTTAGCTTTAAAATTCAATATCTTCACTTGGAAAATTAGGAAAAATATTATAATTTCTCCTAAGAGCTTAGGAAATAATTTAGAACATTTCCATGCATTTTATCAATTTTATGATTTTTATTAATTTTTAATTATTTAAATATTAAAATAGGCTTAAAAATGAAGTTTTTATTTTAATTAAAATTTTATTTTTAGAAAATTCTCCTGATCACAAAGAGATCTCAAAACCAATTTTTATAATTTCTTAGTTATATTTTATTTATTAAAAATCATTTTAGTGTCAAAATGTCATTTAACTTAGAAAATCAAGTAAAGTTATCAAATGAACTCCAAATGTTTTTAATTTTTTATGGGGAGTTCTTTAAACTTTAAACCACAGTGTAGAATCAAAGTAAATACGTTTAGATGATTATTCTTCCCAAATTAATTTTCTTTTTGTTTTAGGGTTTTGTGAGAGTTAAGTGTGTTCTTGATGACTTAACCCATGAAAAATTTTCCAAAGGGTTTTCTGGTCACAATAAACCTTTCAAAATTTCTTTGAATTTTTTTTAAGCAAAATGCTAATTATTATGATTAATTTATTCAAATAAAAGACATAAACTTGAAAAATATGGAGGTCTTCTCTGACCTTGGAAAAGATTTTGAAAAAATCAGAGAATATCCCTCATGACAGAGCAAAAAATATCAAGCCATAGTGAAATTTCTACATGCATGGAGAGTCAAAAAACTCAAAATCATATTTCATTAATTAAAAATAAAATAGGCATCAAATAAACTTCAAACCATTTTCACATTGTTCTCATCTGTTCACTGAGCACTAGGGTGTTTTTCTTTTATTTTTGTGATTTTTCTACACAAAGATATGGATTTTTGAACAAGATATGAATTTTTGAAGTTCTGATCATTAAATAAATAAAATAAAGCCCAATTTTTCTACTTAAACACACGGCGCCGCGTCAACCTACGGCGGCTCCGAAGCTCTGCGTGGCGTGCTCTGGTTGGATGTCGCCATCCACGTAGCTGCTGACTCGGCCCGCACTTTATGAACCACGCTCCCATCTGGTGCAATAAGAGCCCTCCATTTGATACACGTGTGATCCGACGGTTCCGCGTCATCGTCCCTAACTAATGTGAGCCCGTAACCGTTAACCTTAAAACCTTAAGATCTCCCTCATTTCTCAACCAAATGATCTCGGGTTTGATCTTATACACTCTTTTAAGTGTAACGAACATATCCATACGATAAACATGCCATTAAATAAACTCTAATCGAATAGAGAATCAAAATAGGCTCGGGAAGAGGGGAAGCTCAATACATTTGCTCTGAGAATAGAAACTTCAATCAGAGGTGCTCGACACGTTTGTGAAGGTCGAAGGAGGCTAGGGATTGAGCCTCTAGTCGTGGTGAGAGGTCTAGACCCAAATTCAATCAAGGCCGAATTTGGGTGTTGATCAAAGTTGAGTGTAGAGGCTCTCTATGAGGGTTTTGATGGGGCTTTGTCTTCTTTCATTGTGGCGAAGGTGTGGGTGAGTTTAATTTTAAATTTTATGCACTGTGGAAGTGTGGAGAGTTATGTCCTGTCTCCGACAAGGATTTGAGCTCAAAAATTGAACTCCAGCAAGAGGAATTAGGGCAGAGAAGTGGTTGGGTTGCACTGAGGAGGTCTCAAAGAGGCTTTGGGGCCAATTTAGAGGGATCTATTTGAGAAAATTTCAGCACTCCTCTCTTGGTCGTGAAGGGTCCATTTTATAGGCATGGCCGGAGAGAGGAGGTCAGGGTCTGGTCAGGGGTGCAAAGGCTTACTTAGGTGAAGGGCTGAGGAGCTCTAAAGAGCCATTGAGATGAGGTGACCTCTATGGTTGAAATTGGCTTTGATTTGGCCTTGGGACTCTCGGTTTTGAGGTTTTCCGGCGACTAGGCCGGCCGGCAGAGCCAGGGGAGGTGGCCAGAGAGTCAGGTGATCGAGGGAGAGGTTTAATTATAATTTACTCCCAATGGTAAGTGATGATGGGGGAGATATTTGGTTAAGACCCAAAAATGGGCTAAGATCCATTAATTTAGGGACCCATTGGTCCACAGCTCACCATGGCTTGTCCAAAGCGGTTTAGCCTGGTCAATAAGGTGGGTTTAGTGGCTGTGGGGACATTAATTTGGTGACTTTAGGATGGCTAAGTCAATTTTGGTGCATGGGTCCAATTTGGGTCCAAATGGCTAAAAGTTGGGTTTGGGTTAGGCTAGCCATGACTTTGAGCTCAATTGATTGATCAACATTATGTAGATGATTGTAATGAAGATTTTTGGTGAAGGATTGAAATGATTTTGAGTTCAATTGGAAGCTCAATATGAAGGGTTTTGAGATTTTGGTCAATTAGAGCAAGTTGGGCTAGACTTGGGTCTAGATTGGGCTAAGTCCAAATTGATGATTGAAAATAGTCTATAGGAATGTAAGGAAGAGTTTTCAACATAAATTAGGTGTCAATTTTGGGGTTAGGACATTCAATTTGGTTGAATTTTGGGACATAGCCAACTTGGGGCAAATTTGAGGATTTTTGGATTTGGATCAAAATTAAGTGAAATTGAGGCTTCACCAAGGCCAATTGAAGGTCAAGTTTGATGTGTAGGAATATTATGAAGAATTTTCAACATAAATTGTGACAAATTGAGTAAGCTATGAGGTTCAATTTGGTGGGATTAAGCATGTAGCCAAAATTAGGGGTTTGACTTAGATCAAAATTGGGCATGAGCGAGATTTCAAAGTTGCGAAGGCTTTATTCTGTTTTGTTTATGTGTAGCTTTCATATGTAAAATTTTCATTTACATAGAAAAATTATCAATTGGAATATTTTCTGATGAAATAGATCCTATAATTATATTGAAATCATCGAAATAGTTCTAATGAACTCATCAGCGACAAATCAAATATTGTTTGACAATTTATCAGTTAAACTATTCTTTTTATATTAATAAAAGACAATTTGGCCTGACATAGTTTTTTTGAGTTATAAAAAAAATATTTAATGATGAAATTTATTCTTTTTTTGCTTTCAAAACTAAAATTAAGTTTGGGACAAAGATTGAGCTTAAATCATAACTCTTATTTATAACTTAAGATCCTAGTCAAATAAACTTAGGTTAAGATCCAACTCATTTATACTTTAAGCGTTGCCTAGGTTAGTTAATTAAGCTTCCTAAGCATCTCGTGGAATTAGCTCAATTTACCGGTCGATTGGATTGAATCTGTCGGGCAAGCACAAGCAACACAATTTCTGATTTTGACCCACCGACACATCAAAATTTTCTTGCACAAAAAATCAAACAATGATCATCAAACCTTAAGAGCAAAAGTTACAAGAAAATCATTCAGATAAAATAAGGTATAAAAAACACAACTCTATTAAGAACAAATAAAAAATTAAAAATTCCATCAAGGACACAAGGAAAGATTCAAATAATTGTCGAAGAATTCTCAGAATACTTTGATGGAATGAGAAAACTTTATGTTCAAATCTGCAACCCTACATAAATGATCAGACGGGAAGCGATGCCTGAGACAGACCTTCAGATTACAAATCTTGCATGTGCTGCTATTGGAAAATGTGAGGATCTCCTTGCACCTCAGCACAGGGCAACGAGGCTTGATCTTTTTTGATGGGTCGCAAGTTCCGGATTTTCTGTGGTGAGAGAGGCTGTCTTCGTCTTCCTCATCAGCCTGCTTTTCTATGGAGGCCGAACATAATTCACAGACGGCGACAGTTTTGCTGTTGTGATCAGCTTTTGAGCAGGCGTGAGATCTATAAGTTCTGTGCTTCAGACAGAACACCTGCAACAGAATTTTGTTTTTTAATTCAAATATTTATTAATCTAAAATTGAAGCAACATTAAATGATTGAAATTTAAGAGGAATAAATGAGATCTATGATGTTGCTTTGAGTAGACCGCTCAAAAAAAAAATCCAGAAATGTAAGTGGCGCCCTCACATCAGTTAGAAAAGAAAGCAAAGATGATGAACAGGAGGATGAAAAAAATGCATATGCATATGCACGTGTGTGTGCAAAATCTTAAAAAGATGCAAACATTAAGCTTTAAAATTTTAAGGAAAATTTACATACACACCACACAATTTTTGTATTGGATATCTAACAAGTAAACTTCTTCCTCTCATAAATTAAAAAAGTTAACAAATAATTATTGATAAAAAATAATTATTTTATAGCAAAAAATAAATGTTTTGGCATATTCTTAATAATTTTTTTAATATTAATTTATTTATATTATAAGAAAACTTATTTATACCCAATCTTATATTTACATGTACATATTTATTATGTATTTACATAAAGCATCTACCTAAATTTATAGATTTATAATATTTTGATGTCATAAATCTATACATGAGAAAGGTGTACTTTATTTATACTTTATTTTTTAAAAAAGTAAAATTAATATTAGATAATATTAAAAATTTGAGTGCTAAACATGAAAATATAAAAATTTAGGCATTAGATATATAAATATAAAAGAATTATGTGATATGCATATAAATGCCCTTGCTTTTTCTTGCCCCAACTAAAAAGTATGGAAAAAGCTTCCCTCAAAACAGCAGCAAAATCTAATAAGAAAACGGAGGGGAAAAAAAAACTGTGGAAGAGATGTGCGCCAAATCATAG